ATCCCAAGCAGGGGCCCTCAGAGAACTCTTCTTGGTGACTGGGTACCAATTTCCCTCCAGGGCAAGCAGGTTTCTGTGTTGGGAGATTTGAATAACTCAATATGTATGAGTCCACATGAGGATCACCCTGGTCTGCCTGGCCAAACTTGGAGGACTAGACATGATCAGTGTTTGCTTCTATCATGGAGAAGAGGAGCATCTAGTGGTAGTTTCTACCAGAGGGTATTTAATATCGAATGGGGACTGAAGGAGAGGACTAGAGAGTCTCCAGATGGGAAGTGGGGGGAACAACGTGATTAATTCCTAAATGTAATATTTTGGCCATCAGAGAGTTCTCCCATTCTCCACCTCCAATGTTTGCAGAGAGGACAATGATGAATTTTGGCGTAGGCAGCTAAGTCTGACCGTTCCTTCTTTGAGAATTGCCTGATGGGAATTTTAAATCTACCCAGTATACACCAGAGAAGTTGGGGGGCAGCAGATGTAAAGTGTAATAGGCACATAGTCATAATTCCTTTTAACACATGGAAATTCATGGCCTCCCAGCCACCTCCTTCCCAATCAAGAAAAAAATTCTGGCAGTGCCATTTTGGTATTCATTACTTTCCTGGAGCTCCATGGCTTAATTATCCAGTGGGAAGAATCTTCTAAGCAGAGATGGGATATCTGTTTTAGAAGGGAACTGTGGAGAAAGGAGCTTCCTCTCAGGAGTAAAGACAGAGAAGTAGTAGGTAATAGGGGAGTGGTTAGGAAAAGAGAACCACTCGTGTTTGCACTTTGGAAATACGCTAGAGAATTTTCAGACATAAAGACAAAAAGAGAAGAGGTGTCATAGAGGGATAGCTCTGGGGACTAAAAGAGGCAGAGAATGAAAGAAAAATAAGGAGTCACTTTTCACTTTTGATACTATAGTCCTTTGAATATGACAGTCCACAATGATAAAGCTTTATGAACCTCAGGAATTATTAAAATCATGGCTTTCTATCTCATAGCAGAAAACCCACCATCCAACCTAAGAACTCAACTCCTACCAGTTAACTTTCCCCCAGCATTTACGCTTTCAGGATTAAACCATCCTGATTTCAGAAGCTAAATAGACCAAGGCTGAGTCTCAGTGTCTGCGGGGTCTGCTGACTTCTGGTTCATCCTTATTCCTAATATGAGTCCTTCACAGGCTCTCCCATCCTTCGCCAATCCCTGTACCCTCACCAGACAAAGCGCTCATAACCATCACTCAGCCTCTCAACACAGCCCTTACCCCTCTCCAGAAACAATAAATGCCTTCAGGGGAAACCAGTCCCAAACACCAGGATCACATTCCTGACCTTTCAATTTCTCCTAGATCTTGTCCTAATATCCTTCATCATCTTATAAACTTTGATGCCTTCAACCAATATATAGATATTTAATATTATACATATTAGATATGTGTAGCAACACATATATTTTTAAAGTAGCTTTCCCAGTTGTCTTCATTGGGAAGGGTGGTTAAAATTGTCTAGACCTTCATTAATGGATGTGGAAGTCTTTTATTATCCCCATTGTAAATATGAGGCACAGAGAAGTTGGGTAACTTACTGAAGTTCACACCACTGCCAAATGGCAGACCTGGGATTCAACCCCAGGAAGGCTTGTTCTAGTATTTACGTTCTCAAACATCTGCTCCTTGCTAGAGTATTATATGTTGCCTTTTGATGCTGCAAGAACAAATCTTGGAAAATCCTGAGGAATATATTTCTAACATTCTGGCATTTCTCCCAAAGATTATCAGTAAAATATTCCAGGGAATGTCTTACAATCAAAATATTCAAAGGACCAGTTAAGAACTAGAAACTTTCTATATGTCTGTCAATAGTGGAATGTATAAGCAATATATTATATATTTATACAATGAAATACTACACACCAATAAAAAGTATTGAACTACTGATACATGCAAGATGGATGAACCTAAAATACATTATTTTGAGGGAAAAAAGTGCCTAATTCTTTTGTGTTATGTTTTATTTTTTTTTAATTTAAAGCTTCTATTTAATAATTTTATCCCAAGTATTTAGGCAAGTCTCACCTTGCTATCTAATAAATAGTTCCCTTGTGTGATTTATAATTTGAATTATGAGTTTATCTTAAGCAAGACTTTGTCTATGGGAATCTTTAAGCCAGACAGAGGGTGTTTTCAAGAGCAGCTCCGTGCTTGCTTCTGCTAGTATATACCCCCTCCCACACCCCTCACCCTCGCCCACCATGTATATACCCTGCCAACCCATTAGCCTTTTTATGAGAATTTTTTTGGTGTAGGTCCTTTTGAGAATATGAAACTACTGTAAATTCAAACTCTAAGTTGTGTAAGGTCAAACCATTGATTGTGATTTCTTAGGGAGGTCTATTATTTTTCAACACATAGAACAGGCCAAGACAGAAGAGCTTTCTTGAAGTGTCTATGTGCCAGTGAGATTTTTTTATTTCACCAAGGATGGAGCTGGGAATTTTATGCAGTTTCAGTTCCAGCTTTCTAACTTGCTATAGTTGAGGCTTTGTATCCTATACCTACATGGACAATAAAATGTACTCTCTCTGCTTACCTAAGGCAGTAGCTGCCCTCTCTACCATCACTGGTGGCAGTTCCAATATCAGGTCATATTTCTTGACCTCTTGGTTTTTGGCCTTGTGAATTTTTCTTACTTTCTTTTGAGCTCAGTTCTACAATGAAAAAGATATTGGTTATATTTTAACTAGCATTTCTAGTTTTTGTAGTGGGATGGTTTTCGAATGATCTGTTTCATAATATCACTTTTCAATTAAGTTTTGGAAAAGCTAGAAACTAAACTTCTCCTTGGAGAGTCACATGATTAGCCCATTAAAGGTCACCAATTTAAAAATTATCTGGTCATAAAACCCTTTGTGGTACATTATACACAAAGACCTCCCTGACTTCGGTTTGGCCCTAAATCACCATTTTGTTTACATATTATGAATGAGGCAGTTCTCCCCCCAACTAAGAATAGGCATGGGCTTCTTTTTTAGGTCACTACTTTTTTTTTTTTTTTTTTTTTTTGACATACGGTCTTGCTCTGTCACTCAGGCTGGTGTGCAGTGGCATGATCATGGCTCACTGCAGCCTCAAACTCCCTGGACTCAGGAAATCCTCTCACCTCAACTTCTCAAGTAGCTGGGACTACAGGCACGCACCACTACACCTGGCTTATTTTTGTATCCCTTGTAGAGACGATGTGACATCATGTTGCCCATGCTCATCTGAAACTCCTGAGCTCAAGAGATCCAACCACCTTAGCCTTTCAAAGTGCTAGGATTACAGGCGTGAGCTACTGTGCTCAGCCTACCGATTGGGATATCAAAGATATTCAAATGAGAAAAAGTTCATGCAAAGATTAGTAAGAAACTGTGCCTCCATCACTCCCTCATAAAAAAAAAAAGAGGACAAGAATCTACCATGATGACTTAGTAGACATTCTCTCAGAGATAAAAGCTATCCTCTGTTTTCACACATGCTGCTTAAAGGTTGTGTATACCCAAGGGGTCCCATACCATCTTAGCCTCCGCAGCTCCTAAGGTTGCCCTGCTGGTCACACATACTATCTACACCCTCAGCCTAGGTCAGGTTCCTTTTTATAAACTCATGTAGCATTCGTTAACTTTTCCACTTGTAACTCTTTACCTGCTAATATTCACCTTCCCAAGTAAAATACAAACTCCATGAAATCACAGTTCTTGGTTTGAAAACTCTGGTATCTTGAAGGCCCACAATGGCAAAGTCCAGCAGGAAGACACCCAGCACTGGGGCCGCATGTACTCTGTCCTCTCTTGCCATGTGTGCATTCATACCATTTCCCAGGAGCTTACTCTATAAAAGGTCCTGAGCTTACAAAGGTGGGTAAGAAAAAGTCACTGTGGCAAGAGATCGCTGCCTCTCAAAGTTCCCTTTTTTCTTAAGTACACAGCAAGATTACACATCCTAGTCTTCCTTTCAGTTAGGTATGACCCTGTGACTGTCCTCTCACAGGAAATGTGAACATAAGTGACACATGTGTTGCAGCCTTGCTCAAACCTCTCAGCAACGTTCCTCTATCTCTTACTCCTTCTGACTAATGGGGATGAAAATGATCACAGCCACTTTAGCAGTCAGGAAAGCCTCCCTTGACCTTGAGGCCAGAAAAACCACAGAAAAACCTACATGGAGCACAGCCACTACTGTCTGGGATGCCTGCCCTGGACTATGCGAATCAGCGATATAATTTGGGGGTCTGTTAGCACAGCCTGGACTATCATAATACAGTTATCAATCTCAAGAAGCCCAAATGTTCTAAGAAAGAATTCCTATTATTGTGAAATATGTTTCAATGAGCATTAAAGGCTACAGTAAAGCAGGGGGTTAAATTTGTAATTCAGTGTTTTTGGCTTGAAAGCTGCAAGTTTTGCTACAGGTAAGGATGAATAAACAAAGTCATCAAGGCAGACACAGCATGACAGACCTCTCTCTGTATAGGCAAATAAGCATTCTGAGCCACTATCTCTGAGGGAGGACCTTGCTGGCATGCAAGTTTAGTAACTGTCTTCTTTCTACACCACACTCCCCCAACCATCTTCCAAAGGACAAAAATCAAATCTCCATTGTTTCAGTCTCTGAGGGTGTTCCAAGGACCCACCTTACCTCCTTGATGCTTTTCCACTAAAGTGGTGGGGAGTGTTAGGTGTAGAAGGGAGTTTTCTGAAAGCCCCAAAGACAAGGTCAATCCAGTGTCTTGGAGGAGGAGTAGCATCCTGTACCATCTGGCTATCCCGAGACCTCAGGATAGAGGGAGACCCCAGAGGTTTCTAAAGGCAACACACTGGAGAGGCCTTGGATCTTTGGATCCAGCCTTGGTTTTGTGTACTTTCCAGAGCAACTAAAGGGCACAGAGTCTGAGTTTCACCAAGTCAGGAAGGTAGAAAGAGAAAGAATGAATGAAGAGACTAGATGGAGGATGGGCACAAAGGAAATTTTTTTTTAACAAATTAATATTTTTTGCTGCCTAGGCAAATGGCTTTTATGAAAATACTTGTAGGAAAAGCAGTACACCATTTGTTTTTACTTATCATGATCATTAGGTTTTGATGCAAATGGGAATTTACAATAAAATGAAACAAATAGGATCAAGAATTATGTACAATACTGTGATCAAGTGATTTGTGATTCAGGCAATGTACTACTTGAAACACATATCTGGATTTCTCATTCCAAGTGCTGCAGATACTACTTGGGGAAGCAAAGAATACAGAAAGAAGCATAATTAAGTTCATTAGGCTAAGACTAATACAAAGAATATATATAACAAATTTATGATGCATTGCATTATAAGCAATGTTTTTAGTATAAAAGTTGCATTTCCACAAAGAAGCTGTCTAATAACAAATATGAATAAACTACTTCAGAAATGCATCAAAGTTTTATGAGTCACACATATACAGTGTCACAGTCTACATAAAGCTTCACTGAGAATAAGCCATCTGAAGGCCATGTCCCGGGCTGAAGTGATCAAAAGCCTTTCAAAAGATCTTCCTTCCAGAAAAGCTGTTCAAAAAGTTGCCCCATCAGATCACCAAGCTTGGTGACTTCACATTTGGCTTTTGAAGACAAGCTAAAATCTCCCCCAGAGAATCAAAACGTAGGACTGAGGTAAAGAGATATTACATATGGAAGAAATTTTCTGTTGGCATATGAGATTAACATGAATACTTTCGATAATGTTGGTACATTTGACAAGATGGGCCAACCACACATTTATAATACTGACAGAAATAATACTGCCAACACCAAGAGGAAGGACACAGCCTATCAATAGGAGCAAGAGCACTAGCCTCCCTCTTCTTTCTCTCACTTCATACCAAAGATTTTATGCTGAAATCTCATGTGTACCTTATGTTTTCTAAGTTCTTTAAAATTTATTTTTCTCTGGACTCTTTAATGTTTCCATCCTGAAAAACAACATACCAGCTCTACTACTGATGCACTTGCTAATAAAAAGTCACATGGTAAGTATTTGCCTTAAAAATGACTTTTATCATCTACCTCAAAGGTACTTTTACAGGAGGCAGGTTCTGTAAACTTACATATTTCCAAATCATATCAGAATATCACAGTTGTCAATAAGGAATTTTGGCCATAAAAAGTAAACTTTTGGCTTTCTCCAATATCAAAAGCTAACCCCGCCGAAGCTTATCTATTTTCTACGACAGTGGTTATTTTGAATGTACGAAGAGGGCTGTGGTTAACAGGCAGGGATTCTATGCACAAGATGAGCTTGTAAGCATGTGCTCATGCAGTGCAAGGCCCTGTGAACCCAACAGGCCCTGTCCCTCATCCCATCCAATAGCTATACTTCAAAGGGAAAGAAAGATGTGGATTGCCTGTACGTGGCTTTAATGAGATCTCTGAGCAAGCTACGCTGGTTTAGCAGATCTAGCAAGAGATAAATCATAAGAGAAACCAACATAAAGGTAATCAGAAGTTTCACGCTTTCCTTCTAATCAATGAAAAGGTACCCTGCTCCAACCCCCCAAACATGAAGCAATGCACATTCCCATTCCAAAACCAGTTACCTTCACTGAATTCACCTAATTTTAATTTACATAAAATACCATTCTGTGACTAAATAACTGATATTGCAATAGAGGGAAGCATGATTTTAATTTTTTTTAGATTTTAAAAATCAAAATCATGTTTCCATATACTCAAGTTCTGGATCAAATATATTATCTATAAAAAAAATCCACAATGTCTTATTGAATTGTTCATATAATTTTAAGTTTAAATTATTTTAGGTTAACTTTTCTCCTTTAGTTTATATTAAGTATTCAAAACAAACCTAAAGACTTAAGTGGAAAGACATTAGTTATGTACTTATCAGGACATCTGGTAAAAAAAATCCATCTTTGCCATGATGTTAAAAAAGGGAAAATCAGGAAAAATCGTTCCCACAGATAAATATTTAAAGTTTTAAAGGGTTCTCTTCTCCAAGATTTTTTTTTCCTCACCCTTCAGTTTTTTTAAAAGTATTCCTGAGAAAGAAAATACATTTTCTGCCAGGCACAGTGGCTCATACCTGTAATACAAACATTTTGAGAGGCCAAGGCAGGTGGATAACCTAAGGTCAGGAGTTCAAGACTAGCCTGACCAACATAGCAAAACCCCATCTCTACTAAAAGTACACAAATTAGCCAGGCATGGTGGCACACGCCTGTAATTCCAGCTACTTTGGAGGCTGAGGCAGGAGAACAGCTTGAACTAGGGAGGCGGAGATTGCAGCGAGCTGAGATTGTGCCGTTGCAGCCTGGGCGACAAGAGAGAAAATCCATCCCAAAAAAAAAAAAAATTGTCTTATTATATAATTAGATATAGATCAAATATCCCTTATCCAAAATGTGTGGGACCAGAAGTGTTTCAAATTTTTCTGGATTTGGGGATTTCTGTATGTATGAGATATCTCTTGGGAATAAGACCCACATCTAAACACAAAATCCATTTATGTTTTACATAGACTTTATACAACATAGCTTGAAGGTAATTTTATACAATATTTTTAATAATCTTGTGCATGGAACAAAGTTTTGATTGCACTGTGACCTGTCAAATGAGGTCAGGTTTAAAATTTTCCACTTCTGACATTATGTTGGAACTCAAAAAGTTTAAGATTTTGGAGCATTTGGAGTTTTGGATTGGTGGATGAGGAATGTTCAACCTGTACTATTTGAGGTCTGGTTGGAAATTGGCTTTACATTTATAAAAGCCAGGGTAGACTGTATTTCTGCCTTCCCTCCCCTCTAGTCAAATCCTCCACTAAAAAAAAAGAATATTTCAGTTTGAGTGGGAGGCATTATATAGAAAAGCCGAACTATAAAACCATTCTTATTCCATAATACCTGTGAACCTGGGTAGACTGTTCTTTGAAAACTCTGTTTCAGCTGATTTTAAGAGAAAGAAATCCAGTGACAGGAGGACAGGCAGGCCCAGCTCTGCCCTTATCCAGAAAAGCTTCCTGGTATCAGGGAGATGGAACTGCCACCATCAGAACCATGGCACTTTGGGTGAATATGTGTCAGCGACCAAAGGGGCAGGAAATGGGCAGTGACTAAGGAGGCAGAAAATGGGCAGGACATGGCAAGTTTCTCCCAGCCCATCAGCTGGGTGATGGCCTCAATCTTGAAGCTGCACCACTGTCTGAAAAGCACAATTACTGGTGACTCTTAAACTTTACCATACTAGGGAAGGAGACGTGTCAAGTAATTGAATTGGAAAGATGAAAAATAATCATCTCTAAAAATTGATGCTGTCAGAAGAATAACCTCCTTTGTGCAAGTCTTGCAACAGCTTCATTCAGCCACAGGAGGGCAGACAGTTTCAGAACCTCCCCCACCAGTGAGCCCTGTGCTCGCAGTTAATACAAGGAAAGGGTTATCTAAACAGCCAGATAGAAATATACCACATGTTCCTTTTTAAATACAACAGAAACTTTTAGAGTTTCATAAACCTGTACTCATTATGCTATCTGGATCCAAGGGGCATAGAATCAACTTTAGGCATCGTTCATATGCTTGGAACCTAATTTCATGAATTTATTCTAACACAAAAATCAGGTAAGAGAAAAATAAATGGATAGATTTTTTTAAAAGAAATTAGGCTCCCTGGGTATTTATAGGAGATTGAGTATTGAGAGATTTACAAAGATATAATTCTTTGGAAGATTACAGAAGATGGAAACAAAATCAAATCTTTCACTTTCAGATACTGAAGTTCATTAATTCTTCCACCAAAAGCACAACACTGGAGGAAAACCAGAAGTGGCTTTTTAGTTATTATTAAAGTAGTTCAAGACCCAGGGAACCCCTTGAGATGAAAATAAAACAAAACAGTATTCAACTTTTCTTCACAAGACCACCTTGTACTGTCAAGACTTAGAGGACTTCTGGTTTGAAAAAGAATATTGTTAAGGAAACTTAAAAAAATAAAAACACTATATTTTGGCCAAACAATTTTTTTTTAATCTGTCTTGTAAAATCCTTACTTCCTTTTGAACCTCTGATGGCTGCAACATTTCATTTGAGATGTTTGGTGGTCATGACTTCATGGGTTATGGTTACTGATTACCTAAACCCATAGGTCAAAATAAGCAACACAGTTCATGTAAATCTGGTTGCTATTGGAGTCCTCTAACCAAGAGATAATTGTGAAGAGTGTGGAGAGCCTGAACCCCCATGGTGGAAAAGTTGGAAAAATTAAAGGTAAGAAATAAAACAAGACACAGGAGAGTCAGAGGGCTGTGATGGCTTCTGAGCTCCTTTCTGTACCCAAGGCCTCCTCAATTGCTGTCCGTAAAACAGTGTTCATGCACTGTGATGCCTGATGTTTCTTGCAATTTGACAAAAATAAATCATTTACACAAGAAAAGGAAGTAAGGTTTCTATGCTACACTTTGAGGATGCTCAGGATCCAAGGCTCCTGCTTTGCTTTTATTTCTCTCAGCCTGCAGCCTTGTCTGTAGAAGGTGCTATTTAGGGCTGGGAGTGGCCTCCTCTGGTCAAGACTTTCTCGCCGCCAAGTAAATGAAATTGTTCCCATCCCAGCCCCCAAACAGATCCCAACACTACATTTGTTTTTCTATATCCTGATTGTCACACCTGACTCTCCTTAGTATAAGTGAGGCTTACTGCCATGAGACCAAATGAATAGAGAGCATCTTTTAAGAGAGAAGCTTGCTCATTCAGGAGAAATTAAGGATTTGGTTCAAACTGCAGGCCAGAGGGAAGCTGACATATTGTTTTGGTCTGTATTCTTGAAAACACATCATTAAATCTACAGTCCCTTGTCAGCATGCTGACTTTTACGTTGCCTCAAGGAGTCTTCCACCGCCTCTGTGTCAGCTGGGCAGGGCTGCTCAGAGATGGCTTCTTCAGCCTCCTCAGGCTCTAGTTCCTCCTGGGTTGTACTGTCCTCTCCTGGGGGCCCCTGGTCATTGGCCTCACTTCTGTCTTCATCCACACCAGCAGCCAGGTTGTCCTCCTCCTCTTCTTCCTCGGCTTCATCCTCATCGCCAAGGTCTTCTTTCTCTTCGTCATCATCTACAAGGCTGTCTTTGTTTTCTTCTTCATTTGAATCATCTTTCTCCTCCTCTGCATCCTGCAACTGTTCAGCCCTATGAGCCTCCTCTGACCTCCGATTCTGCTCTGTGGAGGGAAGAAAGAGGAATATCCTCTGAATATACAATTGTAATTTAGTAATCAAATGAGTATGTATAGCTGTGAAATAAAAACAGAGGGAAAGTGATAGTTTTTTTCTGTCTTGAAGTTATGGTCACACAGGATAGATTCTCTGGTTGACATCCTAGTCATATTTAGGGCTTCTCCATCTGTCTCTGGAGATTTCATGGACCATAATGACTTCAGCAGGGCATGTGGGCAGCAAGAGCAAAGTTTCCTTTACGCTCTGTATTTTGTGTCTTGTAGAAGACTCAGTGACCCTATTGGTCATGGTGATTGGTTCAGAAATGTGACAAGCTGAGCCACTCAAAGGACTAACAAGAAGTTCTGGACCAGACTCAAGAGGGAAAGTCTCTCCTTCTTCAGGGATTTTTAAACAGAGAAAATGAGCACAGACTGTCAACAACTCTTATGAATAAGCCACACAGAAAGAAAAACCTAACATCACTTGGGCCGTGCTTGAAGCTAGAACATCCCTGGGCTTTTCAGTTATGTGAGCTAATAAATTTTGATTTTTTTCCCTAAACTGGTTGATATTGGATTTCTATTATTATTATTTTTTAATCAGTGTGGCATAGGAACTATTTAATCATTAAAGTCATTTCCAGTATGGGGCCTCCTTGCCTGCTGTCCCAGGAAGGGTGGGTGGGTGGCTCTGCCAGGGCTTTGATTCGTGGCATGGCTTAGTCGGCACCAAACAGATGCTTGAAAAACCCCACCCCCACCCCGGGACAGCAGCGGAGCCAGGGCTTGGGTGGAGCTGTTTATTTCAGGGAGAGGGCAGGGGAGGGGGCTCAGTCTTTTTTGGCAGCGGCTTTTCTCATGGCAGCCAGTGCATTGCTCAGCTCCTCCCGCTTCCTCTTGGTGCGGATGTGTGTCCCCACCCTTTTCTTGATGAACTTGAGGGCCCATTTGTCCTTGGAAACCTTCAGTAACTCCATGGCGTGCCAGTCGTACGGGGCAAAGCCACACACCTCCCGGATCATGTCCCGCATGCACTTGGTGTATTTGGTCAGACGCCCGCGGCGGCGGCTGTGCCTGGGCTTGCTCACGTTCTTGGTTTCCTTGTGGCCCTTGTTGAGGCCCATGGCCATGGGATAGCGAAGAGCCATGGCTGCTACTCTCCAATGGCGATCGTGGCGGAAGGGCCGACGCCGCAAGGAACTATTTTCTAATTATCAATGAAAGTCTCAAAGCCTCAAGAACTTCAAGAACTAAAAAGAAACATGAGCTTATTTAAACTCCTACATAAAATTCAACAATTACAAACTCTCGTGAACATCTTTATGCAGTCTTAAAAATAGTCTGGAATAAAGACATGCAAATCCAGGGCCACCTGGCCCCAGAAGCAGTGTGGAGCAGCGCAAGGATTTGAGGAGACTGCTTTTAAAGGACTTAGGAAAGTTACTGGCAGAGAGGAGACTCAATATATATTGAATTCCCCTTCTTCACTTCTAGTTGTAGTTAAAGGAAAACATGACACTGATTAATGAAGAGCACACAATTAAAAAGAAAAAGCATTTACCAAAATGAAATATTTCCTAATTTAAGAGAAGGAGAAAAATAATTTTTGTTCAAATCTACCTAGGAAACATATTTTATGAAATTTGGTAGTGATGATTTGGCAACCTAGCAAATAAGAGAGAAAACCCACTATGTATATGAGCACAAAAGAGCACAACACAGAATTCCAAAATCACTCTATGTCACTGAAGCGAATTGTACTTACCAGAATGCTCAGATAAATGCCTTGGAAATGGCACATAGAAACATTCTGATATTACCACCAAGACCTGGAGGGGAAAAAGTGATTTTACAGTGAAGAGATAGGACATTTATTACCAAAGGGACTCAAAATTAGGCCTTGCTTCTATAATCAGATATTCTTAGACTATTAATTAGCAGCTAGTCAAAAGTCTTCACAAGAGACAAGGATATAATTAAGAATTTCCTAGTTTTCAAATGTGACATAATACAGGAAAATACTAATTTAGAACAGTGGTCACAAAGTCAAAAGTCTACAGAGAACCCACTATAAATAGATGAACCAAGCAGCCATAAGAAGATAGACAGTATGAACCAAGTCTTTTAAACACATATTCTGGACAACCAAACTACTCTGTATATAGGCTGCCCCTCACCAGTGGGTAACCCCTGACTGAGTGGAAGAACATTTCACAAATGTTACAACCAGCTGTGGATGGGGAAGGATTGAAGATGACTTGAAAGGAGGAGGCATTTAATGCCCTGGGCAGTCAGGAGAGAACAGCAGCACAACCTGGCTGCTCTAAACTAAACTAAGTTGGATCTCCAAGGGGGATCTTGGATCCAGAGAAAGCCCTGAATGATAAACTGAGGAGACCCAGGAGGTGGGGCAATGAGATGCAGGAAGGCTTGGTGGGTTGGGGAACAATAAACTCTAAGGCTTTAAATCAATTTGAACAACAAAGAGAAAAAGCATTCCATCTGAAATGATTCAGGTTTGAAAACCTTACATTTTAAAGTGATAGTTATAATGTTTACTGGCTATTCCAGGACATAATTTTTTTTCTGACTTCTCTTTTTTTATTTATAATTGACATAAAGTAACTATATATACTGACGGGATACAATGTGATGTTTGAATGGATGTATATATAGCATAATGATCAAATCAGGGTAATTACCATATCCCTCACCTTAATTTATTCTATTCTTCTATTCTGGAAAATGGTATAACCAACAATTTCATCTCAGGTTTAGTCTATCTAACTTACTCATTTAATTTTGACTGAGCTGGTGAAGTTATTAAAAAAAAAAAAAAAAAAAGAACAAGAAAAATATTTAGATCGTAGCGTCCCAACAGGCACGTCATCCCTTAAGGAGTCTGGGCCATTCAGAGCCAGCCTCAGGCAGCTTTGTCCCTCAGTACCATCCCTTTACACTGGCATGCTACATAAATATTCTCTGTGTGGCTAAGATATGTAAACAATTGAGAAACAATTCTCTATCATCCTAGAAGTTAACAAAAATGTCATTCTGGAATAGATGATTTAAAATGGGATAAGAATGCAGATGTTTCAAATTATGTAACTCTCACAAAAAGAGGCTGAAAAGTACATAAGAAATTAAAGGTTACTAAAGGCAAACATTCCAGCTGTTGTGTGTTTACACTTTACAGTTATAGAAAAGGCATTCTATTTGTATGTGTATGTATGTATTGTTTTTATTTTTATTTGTTTATTTTTTTGGGAGACAGGGTCTACCTCTGTCACCAAGGCTGGAGTACAGTGGCAAGATCATAGCTCACTGCAGCCTTGAACTGCTGGGCTCGAGTGATCCTCCCACCTCAGCCTCCCGAGTAGCTGGGATTACAGGCGTGTGCCACTATGCCAGGTTAATTTCCGTATTTTTTCTAGAGACAGGGTTTTACCATGTTACCCAGCTGGTCTCAAACTCCTAGGCTCAAATGATTCATCTGCCTCGGGTTCCCAGAGTGCCAGGATTACAGGCCTGACCCACTGTGCACAACCTAAAATAGGCACTTTGAACACAGATACGTGTTTATTTTTTGGAAACTTATTAACAATAAATGTATGAATCTTTTTAAATTTATGATTCTTATGCTTTGAAATTGTTCTTTTATTAAATAAAGTTATTTTCCCAACTTCTTATTAAGGAAGGATAGTCTATCTCAATCAGTTGAACAGGCTAGAATCAACTCTCTCCTTTCTTCAGGCCAAGGCTTCAATAATCCTTCTGCACTAATTATCTGAATCTAGGCTTCCAAAAGAATCTAAGGCATAGGCAGGCAGGCCCAACGCAATTTCATGAACTTAAAGTCAACATCAAAATAATATTCTAAACCTCTAAGCATTTTCACTAGCCTTCCAACAGGTTCACACACAACCTACATTCCCTATAACTCCATCACTGATTCTCCTGGGACCACATACTGTTCCCCCTACAAGAACCTCACACTATGTAGCCCCAAAATACACTGCTAGAAAAATCTAGCAACTAGACAACAGATGAGAGAAGCACAATGGCATTCTATTTATAACCAGTGTCGATTCTCTTTAGACCCAGGCAATGGGGACATGTTAATTAGCAAAAAGATTAATGCAACAGAACAGAACATACCCAGGACCTAATGAAGGACACATACAGGTATCTAAGTAAGTCTCATTCCCACCCCTGAAGTTAACATCAGGAGCCAAGTCTTAAAGATAAGCCATGATCTGAATTAGGTATGTTCATGGAAAAGTCAAATCAAGCCTCCTTAGCTCCTTGGGGGTGGTTATGACTTACTATAAGTCAATTGTTAACATTTTAAGCTTATTTTTAAAAAGAACTTGCTAAACAGACAAAATTCATTATAAAATATTAGGACAGACTTTAAGATAATCTTACCTTAAAGTCTGTTCTCTTATATAAATTTTTAGTAATCATCAATTATTCCCATTATAGTGTATAGGAACTATGTGATTAGTATACATTATAAAGGTTTTTTAAAACTTTTTGGCTTAATTAGGGTTTAAAATGAAATCAAACTAATCAAGATTAGGTTAGTTAAGAGAAAGAAAAAAATAACAAAGAATATAACATGCTAAACTTTTATAGTTGTCTATACAGTTAGATAAATAAATTTACCATTCAACTCTTGCCTGAAACACTGGGGAGAAAATGCACAGATATATATTAGGTACTGATTTTCATGCCCAAAAAATAATTGTGTTGTTTTAACTACATTATCTTACAAACTCTATCTCGGGAAAACCAGAGTGTATGCATGAATAAGCAGCTGGTCAGGATTAGTTCAGTTGGAGGATAAAAACAAAACAAAAATCTTGCATCTACCCAAAGAACAAATTCAAAACACTGGCCTTACTACTACAGTGTTCTAATTAAGTGGGCCATATGTGAAATCACAGCTGACTCAGTTGTCTTAGAAACTATCAATTCAAGTAGGGTCTCTCTTTTATTTGTATTACTGTCTATACTCTAGGCAGTGACTCCAAAATATTTAAGGGATAGGACTGGTGATAAGAATTTAATAATTTTTCAATTATATCTCACATTACCATTGAAAGCAGTCTCAAACAAGCAAATGCTACTTAACTACTTAGATTACACAAAACACTATATTTTATGCGCTTTTTCTTTCTTGGCTGCCTATTAGTTGTACATGAAATCCACTTTGCCTTAAAGACAGAAAAATGTTTGGTATTATCTCTTACCAGACCCATGAAAAGGCCAAAAACCAAGGTGGCTATGACGAAAAAGACGTAAGAACACCAAGCAGGAATTCCAAGCGTCACTGTGAAATAGTTGTGAAGATGCTGTAATCAGAAGGAAAAAAGTAAAGTATTTATTTTTAAGAGAACCAAAAATATTTGAATCTCCTTCTCTAGCTGTTGTTTCTACATCCATAGATTCCCACAAAGGTTTATCTATCTAAATGATTCTTAGAGAACACATCAATTTTATAATATTGGGAAACTGAGAGTAATAAGGTCATTACTTAAAAAGTTATACTTGTTTGGAGTTCATAATCTGGATAGAATTCTGGTAGGATCATTTTGACAGTCCTTCTTCTATCATGATGGATGCTTTCGGCCCTCCTCCCCTAATAATTATATACATCTCAATGTTTACTTATAATAGAACATTCATTAAAAAATTAAACTTTTTCAGCCTTTATTGACTTTTCAGTAAAACTAAATTACTACTTACAGAACATCAACCTTTTAAAATGTCTCCATACCTCTTTTTCCTAATCAGGCTCTCATTGCTCTATATCTATTCATCCTTTCAAAGTTTAGTAGATTACCAGAAAACGTATAATGTAACAGTAGACAGAAGAAACAGTTTTTTCTGGTTAATTTATTATGAGCAAATTAGATTTCAGCAATCTTTGAATAGAGTGTACATCCCTTCATGCTCACTGTTCCCTAAGATTCTATTTGATGAAAAATACTTTAAAAAGGAGTGAAGGGACATACTCATAGCTAGAAATTACTTACATGCTAAATTATACAGAAATTAACAGAAATGAACTTGCTATTTTAAAGTCAGAGCCTACTTAGATGTAGACTTGCAGAAGCCATGCTTCCTCACAATGATTTAGTCATTTGTTTAAGATCCTGACAGCTTCAAAACTGGCCATTAACTAAAATTCAAGCAATTACTGGACACAGGATGAAATGGCTCCAAATATCACCAGCAAGCAGAGGTAATGACAATGACTTGCCTAGAACCAGTAAGGTTGATGAAAATGAGTCCAAATTTCTATTTTAATTTCATATTTCTCAAATTTGAAATCACTCCCATTGGTTTCTTAGTTTATGTTAATGCAATTAAATAACATATTTTATTCTGGCTTAATTTGGAACAATAAATAAAGAAAAATGCTTGTTATCTAGCATAACCTGAAATATCTCTCTACAATTACTTATTCAGCAAAAGAGACAGAGCTAAAGACTAAGTAAGTATTTTAAACACTGACACATGGAATCAAACTGTTCAATCAGTATTTGTTGAATAAGGAAAAGATGCATCAAATACCCGAACCATTCATAGGAAATGCAAACACACTCTCGATTTGTAAAGCTGGCATCTGTCCTCTGTTGATGTCACTGGCCATCAGTGTGTGTTTGGCCAGGACAATTGTTTATTAAGAGTAACTTAGTATTTTACAACTCAACAAGCAAAGGGCGTATTTGAGATATCAAAACATCATTTCATTCAAACTCTTTTCAATGTAAGTTTTACAATTTATTGTACAGTTTCCTACTTTAGAAAATATTATGTATTCAACTTATGCTTTTCTCAGGGACTCAGTACCATCAACAGGATTAAACTCTGAAATATACCAATGAATGAGAAAACGGTAAAAGTCAATCTGCCTTTGTGCCAACCCATGAATGTGTTCTAGAACTTGCTTTATAAGTAGCTGCTGATTTATCTTACTTGTATGGTTAGGACAAATAACGTGCAGTTTTAAGTCCTTCTGTACAGTATCTTATGCCCTGTCTGCAAAATAAATGATAAATGCAACTCTCAGGAAACTTTCTATATTATTTTTTAATTTCATTAAATCATTTGCTTTTGAAGCATTGCATTCTGACTCAAATACTTAGTACTTTCAAGAAATCCGCTTATTTTAATAAGCTGCACTTTAATTTTCTTGTATCAACTTCCTCTTTAAAGGGATTTGAGTTTCTTGGAGAAACTCTGCCATCTTCTGGTCTTTTAGGTCATTATTACTAAAGATTCATTAATCACGTTGTACCTTTACAACTACAGATATAAATCTTTATCTGTTTACTTTGTCTGAGTCTACAACGGCTTTAAAGCCCCTTATGAGTGTTAGGTACCATGTTCTTGAAGTTTTGCTTTATATATGCTTCCAAAGGAATAGCTTATTAAATCAAATCCAATTCAGTTTTAGATTATTGTGTTTCTGTTTCTTTATTTTCCAGGCAAAGTGACAGTTTTCACTTAATGGAAAATACTGATCCTTGTTCAATATTATATGTGCTTACCTCAAGGAAATATCCCATGTTGTTCACTGAAAATGCACAAAAATGTAACCTGATGGGCATGATACCTTATACTATTGTACTAGATAAGAAAGTATCTTACTGTGTTCACTGAAAATGCACTAAAATTCTGATGCACGTGATACCTTATATTATCACAGTGCATGATTAAGTTAGAGCTAACTTTTGGCAACATACATATTTGAGTGAGAAGACAAAACATCATTACAATAGAATAAATGAGAAGAGCATTCTAATCAGTGGTCAGATAGACTTAAGGAACACAGGCAGGTCAAGGCCTCCATGCATCTGAGGGAGAGCCTTCCCTCCTCAGAAAGGCAAAGCACTCCCTCTGGAAGTCTAAACTACTGCAGGTTGAATTAAATCCTGCTCAGTCATCCAGCCCAGTGTTACAGTCTCATTCAAACCTGGAGTGGCCCTTAAGGACAGAAAGCCTTTGGATTTAGAGTTCACCTGTGTCATCGGATATACTCTGAGGAGCTCTGGAACAAGTCCTTTATCTCTTTCAGACACAGATCAGAATCCCCAAAATATCTTCCCTGGAATGAGACAGCTAGGAAAGACTCTTCAATGGTGGCCAAGGGTTCACTTCTTTCATGCTTTAGCTCGCATCACTTGTAACAAAACATGGCCTGAAGCCTCTCGTAGGATTTTTGAGAAGTACCTTATAGATGTGTACCACTATCTCACTGTAACATTCTACAAAACATTCTAAACATTTTTATATGAAAAAAAAAATTGAGAAGAGGCATGCTATGTAAATCACAGAAGAACGTTTTCAAGTTTTAAAATATGCTTTGTTATTCTCTAGTCTAAATGTTCATGGCTTTTAATTCTGATAATCAGATACTTTAAATAAAGCCGTAAGTCTTCTGTCATGCTGTTCTAATAAAAAGGGAAGGTAGCATCCATCATACAGATTGTCCTCCCAAGGATGTAGCACATCTTATTTTAGCTAAAATTTGCCATATGCCTACATCCTCTCAAAACAACAGTAACATTTAGGAGAGGGAAGTTACATCCTGTATTACCTCCATGAACAGCAGAGATTCACCAAATCCAATAAAATAATGCTTTAAATACATTTAAATGCTAAACCTAGTTAGCAAAAGCATACACAGGTTGAGAATCCCTTATCCCAAATGCTTGGGACTGGACATGCTTCAGATTTCCAGTTTTATCAGATTTTTACATTACACTTACCAGTTGAGCATCACAAATCCAAAAACCTGAAAATCAAAATGCTCCAGTGAGCATTTCCTTTAAGTGTCATGTTGGTGCTCAAACAGTTTCAGATTCTGAAGCGTTTTAGATTTTGAATTTTTGGATTTGGGGATGCTCAACCTATATGCTGAGTGACTACCGCAGAACCCTATTTTAAGCCTGCTATCAGCATTGGCTAAAAATTTAACAAAAGTATTCCATGTTGCCTATAAAGAGAAGGAAAAATAAAATAATAAAGACAATGATGATTAATAAATATAACTAACAAAAAGCAATAATCAAGCACATAACTAGGTACCAGATTCTGCACTAAGCACTCAAAGCGTTCTAGGAACAAGTCCATGGCAGGAAAAAAAAAAGATTCAGGGACCTACACACAAGGTGGGAAACAATGATGTGCTTCTGGAAGAGAAGGATAGTGCCTCTCTGCAGCACTGTAGCCAACTGTGAACAGAGGGAAGACAAGACTGGATGGTCTCTCTCCACACATGTGCCACAGACAAAAACCCCAAGGACTTCTAATCCTATTTGATTTGGCAGTGATGCCTCCTGAAGTTCAATCTTCTGCACATTGCTTTCATGATATCCACCTCACTTTGTACCATCCATTACAGTATTGACATTTTTTACTTAAGTCACTTTAAGTTATATACAAATTTAAAGAAATTTTATATTGCTACTATAATATAAAATCAAAATCAATTTTGTCCTTTGAAGATGTCAACTTTCTGAGAAACTCCTCTAACTGTCCCATCTCCCAGGCCTCAGTGACTCCATCTGTAAGTGGGGTGGGTGAAATGTCGAGACTATCCATGAGGATAGATACTGTAGCTAATGTGGTAATTACTTCTGTGAGTTTATATAAAAATTAAAATATGCAGGCGAATGCTATCATGACTGAATTGAAAAGACAATTTAAATTTAGCGATGGAAAGAACACTGGAGATCATCTCCTCGTTGTCCACATTGTGGTACAAATGACATATGGAGGATCCCTGGGATTCAGGGTAACAGCAGGAAGCTCACAGGAATTGCTTCATAAGATTATTCAAGGGATTTTGTCACCTCAGGGTTTACTCAAGCAAGAACACAGGGGAGGTTTGTATAAAATTAAAAAGGTCAAATGCAAACCAAAACACCTCCGAGTTGATAGGAATTCAGCCATGTAAGTGTCTCATCACCAGGGGATCCCAGAATCTTGAGGACCAGCTTTTATATCCAGAATGTCAGACTGAGCAAGTTGGCTTTACTTCGAAGGCAGAAAGAAACTCAAGCCTCTTAAGGAATCACTAGAGTTCAGTAGGCTCTGATTTTCTATGTAGATCTCTGATCTTCTAGATATTTTCTAGATAATCACTAGTTCAATACGCTCTGATCTTCTAGATATATTGTTTTTATTTTCTCATTACAGAAAAAATAGAAGTTATAGAAAAAAGGCTTTTAAAAATTGTTCATAATTCCAGAAATCTGTTGATTTATCTCTAGGCATTTTCCTATATACATACAAAAACTCCAATAAACATCACATGATACTGTTTTATCTTCCCTATATAAATACTTAAATCTAACCAGCTACCCATCCAGGGAAGACTGTTGCTGAGGAAAGACTGATTTCTATCTGTACATGTATCCAGATATTTCAATAGGATAAAGAGACTACGGATAGGCATAAACAATCTTGCCTCACTGGCATTAGCCATTCTACATCTTTCCTTCTTCCACGTTTTTAATCTTTCTCTGAGACTTTACACTATTTTGGTTCCACCTCCCATCCCCACCTCTGTCTCACTATGTACAGTGTTTCTTCTGTTCATTATTAATATATTTGCACTGCAGTTTCATATGATCTAGACGTGAGTTAAAAAACAATTAAGTTTGCCACAATTATACATTCAACATTGATTTGAGGAACTCCAGCTAAAGAAAGAGTCAGCTGAATGAGCTAACTGAGCAGGCAGGGCAGTCAGCTGGGAGGATTGACTGAGTAAGTGGCTCTCTAAGGACAGCAAGGCAAAACCATAACTGGAGGTGGAAGTGGGAACCAGAGACCTGATGGGTAGCCTAAAGGACTGGGTCTCTTTAGGTCAAAGATTATATGCCTCGTAAATAAGAGGGCAAGAGCCAGATTCTAGAAATACAAGTGGCAAGAGGCCTACCTAGAGATTTGATGAAAGGATGGGGACTTATTTCTATTACCAAAGTTGGCAAGAGGCTTGGGGAGACTACATGCTGATATGGAGGGTACTATCAGATTTCACAAATTATTAAGGCAATGTATACACACACACAAGGAGATCAAAATAATCTAATACTGTACCATTTGCGCTCTTTTATGTACAACTCTCTTCCATTCCCCTACACACACACACACACTCTCTCTCTACAATCAGGATAAATGTTTTTGTGATCCCAATAAATATAAATGGATTAAATTCATCAGTTAAAAGAATTATTTATTGCTATCTACTTTTTATAAGATTTACTTAAAACATAATAAAAAAGTTGAAAATGGAAAAATTATTCCATGCAAATGCTTATAAAAAAGATAAAACATAGTATTAATACTAGATAAAACTATTTTACAATTATACAATTGTATAATTGTACAGTTTGCATTCTACATTTTACAATTATAAAATGTAATTACTTGTGTGCCAAATTTTAATTTATTTTATAAAATTATCATTTTTGGTTCCTTTTGGAAATATATCTAGAAAGAAATTATAAATATACATTTATATAACATATATATTCTACTTCTCAACCATTAAGAAGAACATATTCATTAGTTATTCAGACATGGATCAAATTCTATTCTCCAAATGGCTCTCTCTCTCCAGTTTAATGCATCCACACAGAGTACATCTGTGTTGCCCATAGTTGGGCACTGTGTGTACAAAGATAAAACACCCACTCCTGGCCTTGACACACTCTAAGTGTTACACATTGTAATCAACTGCATGACATAATGAAAAATTGTAACTCCTTATTTAAACTCTTGTTTAAGCTCCAAATGACAAGCTATATGAGGTCAGAGTATGTATCTTCCCTGCTACTGTCTTTAAAAGTAAAACTTCTCTTTTACAATCAATGAAGGCCATATCAGCTTCCATCTAAGCTCTTCTTAACCTGTAGAACAAATTCTATTGTTCTGCACTTATCACAGATTTGGTGCTAAAATTTCAGTCAGTGCTGCCTGACAACCATCTATTACAATTCTTCTGTTAAATTAGATAGTATAATGCTACACAGCTCAGACAGCTAGCAGGCTACATAATTTCATCAATCTTTAACATCGACATATTGCAAAAGGCAGAATCTCTTTTCAGTTCCCAGTTTGCAATTCATAATTCTCAGCCCTTGATTTAAGTTCTCACCAATGTTAAGAAAGCAGCAAAAGGAAACCATATGAAACAAAACTATCCGGAGAGCAGGAAATATTAGTTACTGTTTACTGTGATAAACAAATGCCAAAAAAGTTAAATTTTAACCTGAAAGACTGAAACCAAGTCTTTGCATAGCCTCTGTTGTAAAAAAAATAAACAACCAAAAAACCCCATAGTAGGTATTCTATCTCACAAGGCAGAATATAAATGTAACTGAGAAAGTGGAATAGAAAACGTTTTTCTCAAATGTCTTTCAACATATATGAATGTGTATGAGACACAGAAAAAGAGTCTTCACAAACTCTTTGAATATTACCTTCCAAACATGGCACCATAACCTACAATCATAGCATAGAAAAGACATATATAGAGAGACTCACTTCTAAGATTTTTTGAAATATTTTGAGCTATATTTAATTCTAGAGCAATTTTGTTAAATCTGGTTGGATTTAGTCCTCCCCTACAGAGAGGGAGAATAAAAGGGACATATTCAAGATTATATAATAGTTCAACAATTCAACCTGAAACACAGTTCTAACCCACTGAAATGACTCAGAGAAATTATACAATCACATATAGCAGGGGTCTACTACTTAAAGGCCAGATTGTAAGTATTTCGGGCTTGTGGGCCACAGCTCTCTGTGTCTCTGTCATAACTATTTAACTCTACCACTGTAGCATGAAAGCAGTCACAGACAATAGGTAATGAATAAATGTAGCTGTGTTCCAGTAAGACTTTATTTACAAAACAGGCAGCCTACCCACAGGCTAGAGTTTGCTAACCCCTGACATACAGAACTACTTGCAGGCTTAAATAATCTTTCCTATGTAGGGAGATATGCCAATGCGAATTTAAGATAAAATAAAATCACAAAAGCCCTTTCGCTTGGATCAAAGACTCCATCACTGATCTAAGAAAATAAGACTTTGACACAGTAGTTACAGGTTCCTGTTCAGATTATGCCCTTCTACATAAAGACATTACCACTGGGAACCCCACATGAGAGTAGCTGCATAGCTTAAGAAAAAAAGTGAAATTATAAATTTATTTACAAATATTTATTTTCCTATTGCTTAAAAGCTATATTTTTATTCTTAACAACATCTCTGCAAATATGAATGTGTTATTTAAGATTACTTACCCATATTTTGCCAGAGATGCTGAAAAGACCAGCCATTCCAGACATCCTTAAAAAAATAAAGAGAAGAAACACTGATCACATATACTATTAAGAAAACAAACAAACAAACAAAATGAAAATCAGGTCAGGAGGACTGGTCCTTTCCCCTCCACTTTTTGCTACATATTTTCCCCTCTCCCAGATTTGTATCTGTTCTTATAAAGCTTAGATTCAGTGGCTATCATTTGAATCACTCTGCTGCAAATCTATTCCAGTTCCTTAGCCCTTTCTCCTTTCACTGTATTACCTGGCAAAAATCTCAACCCTGAGCAGCTGAATGTCTCTGGGGAAAAAACATCACATAACCAGCTGATGGTTCTTTCTTCTCATAGTTCCAAACCTAAGTGGACACTAATACTGTCCAGAATTTTCTAGGCTCTAACTAAGATAATACCTCATTTCCTTTTCCTTTTCTTCAAAATTTACACATTTTCCCATCCCCATGTACTCTTGGCTAACAAGCATTCCTCCAAGCTCTCCTCCTATGTCACTGTGAAATCAGAAGCCACCATGTGATCTCTCTTCCTTTCCCATTACCAGATCTGAGCCTGGTGTCCAGCTGCATCCACCTTCTCTTATTAATAATGACAGGGAAAGTCGAACTGTCTTATCACAGTTGGATCCTATCCCTTCTGTCTTATTATGACTTGGCTCTTTCTCTCATTTTCCTCTCCTGCACGAGCAACTTCTCTCTCTCTCCTAGAATAGTCGCATTGGCATATAAACATGCTCTGCTCTCTTCTAACTTTTTTTTAATATATATCCTTTAAGTTCTGATATCCCTGAACCTCATAGGGCCCTCCAGCTTCAAAGACAAATTTCTCCAGGGTACTCTACACATGCTGTTTCTTCTTCTTTACTGTATCTTTAATCCATTCAAATCTGGCTTCCTCCTTCACCACTACAGGAACACTGATTGTCAAAGCCATGATGACCTCACCATGCTTCATTCAGTGTCCATGTCTCAGACTTGACCGCCCTTCTCCTCTTAGTAACATGGGCCACAAGGGACTACGCCCTTCTTCTTGAACACTTTCATTTGGTTTCTGGAAAATGGCAGAGCCTGGTTTTCATGATGTCTCTCTGGTACTCATTTCAGTTTCCTTTTGCTGATTTCTCAACACAGGTTCTTAATTTGGGGGTGGCCCATGACTCACTTCCAAGTACTCTTCTCTTTTTCCTTCTTTTAGGTGTTCCCCTCACTTCATCACTGCCTGCAGGTTTTGTCTTTGTTTTCCTGAATTCTTCTAGGGACCCATCTCCATGCACCTGATATGGTTTCAATCTGTATCCCCACCCAAATCTCATGTTCAACTGTAATCCCTAGAGGTGGAGGTGGGGTCTGGTGGAAAGAGATTGGCTCATGGGGGCAGTTTCTCACAAATAGTTTACCACTATCCACTTGGTGCTGTTCTCTTGATAGTGAGTGAGCTCTCATGAGATTTGGTTGTTTAACAGTGTGTGGCTTGCTCCTACTCTGGCCATGTGATGTATGTGCTTCCCTTTCGCCTTCCACCATGATTGTAAGTTTCCTGAAGCCTCCCCGGAAGCCAGGCAGACATCAGCATCATCCTTCCTGTACAGCCTGCAGAACCATGAGCCAATTAAACATCTTTTCTTTATGAATTACCCAGTCTCAAGTATTCCTTTATAGCAATGCTAGAATGGATGAATACAGCAGCCAGAGTGACAGTTCTTTGAAGTCTGCATCTCAAACTCAAGTTTTACACAGAATCCTTAATTTTCTCTTGCCCAAAGCATTAACTAGTATCAAGATCCATCATGTACTCAAACCAGAAACTTGTAAGCTTTTACTTATGAATCCTTCTCCTTCACCTTGGCCAAGCCTACGTTCAAAGCATATGTGAAATCCACTCAGTCTCTCCATCCCCATATCCCCACTGCCACCACCTGACACAAGCTACCACTCCAAGGCTGGACTCGCTTCATCCCTTCTTGCCCTCGCCAATCTCCTAAGAGTCACCTTCTCCTTGCATGCACCGATAACTTCCAACTTCTTTCCTGTGGCCACAGGCCCTGTGTGATCGGGCTTCAGCCTGCCTCTCTTACTCAGCTCATCCTATGCTTCCTTTTACTGTGCTTGACCCTGGTCACCATTCTGTTCCTTAAGTATACCAAGCTCTTTTCCAAACAGGGGCTTATGCCTATGCCATACCCATTCCTGGGAATATTCTTCCCTCTGCTCTTTACCTAGGTTAGTTCCTGCTAGCCTTCAGATATCACCTAGAGGCCTCCCTTCAGAGAAACGTCTCCTACTCTTTCCACCTAGAAGAGTAGGTCCATAACCCCACAGCTAACCCCCGTCTTTGGAAAATATGTTGTGTTTTTTATACACCCTTATCCAGACTATGATTCTCTGTACCTGAGGCGAATGTCTGTCTTATTCAGTGTCAAATACCTAGCACCTAGAAAGGTATCTGGCTGAATCGGTGTTCAAATGGTTGTAGAATGAAATGCCAGAGGGGAGTTGTTTTTAGAGCAAGCTATGTGTTTCCTTAATATTAATATAGATGCCACAAGCTGATTTATTCCTGAAATATTGCATGATTTGCTCCTTTTTCAGTAGGGAAATTTTTTACATTTGTATATACTAATATAAAATTATCTATATATACGACAATCCATTCAAAATTAAAACCAACTGTGGAAAAAGTTGTTATGGCTTGGCCTAATCTACCTCACCAAGTATTATACAATGTGCCATCAAGGCCAAAAGCTACCCACAGTGGTATTCTGCTAGGCAGCCAAAGACCCCACAGCTTTTGTTTTCCACGTAATATAGAATAGCAATTCCTCCATAAACTATAATTTAATAAAGAGTTACTCCTCTGTCTCATCAATAACTCAAAAGGAAGAATGATAAACGATGTTCAAACTATATTTTGTAAAGAGAAAAACAGTCATCATGGCTCAATGCCAAAGGTAGAAAAGAGGCTTTCTGTAACCCACCCAAATCTGGCTACTTAATTCCCAGTGTACTAAAAACCAGCTGAAACATATGTGGGTCACAAAACCAGAAATACTGCATGGGCTAAGCATGGCCATGGATAATCTGGGTAATAGGAAGTAAATGTGAAGAAAAACATGGGCTTTCGAGGCCCATAGGCTATTAACTTAAAACCTCCTGTTTCATTAATAACACCTTGTCATTAAAAAATTAACAAGTTACGTTAGAGAAGCCGGGGATTTCCAGCCAGTCAGAGGCTCAACTGATTGCCATTTCTTCTCTAAGATATAATTCTGCAGGTCTTCGAAGATTCCTGGGCCACGATAACGGCGGAATATCCCATCCTTTGCACTATAAATTATGAAAACAAGTAGAAAGCAAATGCATTAAAACAACAGATGTTACAGATAATACAAATTAAAACAGCTATTGGTCATACAATTGAACTCTGCTTGAATTTTAAATGGACTCAACTGAAAAATATACACAGACATAAATCAGAAAGCATTAATAAGATTTATTACAAGTGATAAACCCAAACCTGAAAGTGTTAACATTCTATGTTATCACCATACAATGTGAGTCCTTGGCAGTGTTTAACATGCCAAGCTACTTTTTATTATTTTTGCTACCAATTACTTTAATTTTTCTCTTACAATAGCAAAATAGCCATTGTTACCAAGTTTAAAACATTGCATCCACATTTTCAAATGTATGTCATTCACGGCCCTCCCTTCAAACACCAACAAAAAACCTCATTACCCGCCCCCCAACCTGGTCTCCCTCTCACCTACTTGCCGCAATCAGGGCTCCCAGGGAAGAGTCTAGGCTTGCTGTTTTCTCTTCTTTATGTCTCATGCACTACTTGGGGCAACTGGGGGTTCTGCTCCCAGGACTCCCTTGAAACTGCTCATATTGGGGGTCTCCAATGACCCCTAAGTGCCATATCGATTTCTGTTTCCTTTACCTGTCACTGGCATTGTTCACTCACTGCTGAACACCACTTCCTTCCTCCTTTTGCTTAGCTTTTATGACAGGAGCTCTCTGGACTTCTTCCTGCTGCTCTGAGCATCCTTTCTCCAAATCTTTCACTCACTGTCTTCCTTTGCAGATGTCCTAAAGTTGGCCAATCCCAGGTTCTGTCCTTGACCTGCTTCCCTTCTCACCATACATGTTCTCTTTAGATATATTTCAATTGTTATTTACTTCGATGCTGAGGAATTCTCAATATATATCTCCAGTCTAGATCTTTCTCTTTTTCCCCCCAAGATGAAGTTTCACTTTTCTTGCCCAGGCTGTAGTGCAATGGTACGATTCCAGCTCACGGCAACCTCCACCTCCCAAGTTCAAGTGATTCTTCTGCCTCAGCCTTTTGAGTAGCTGGGATTACAGGTGCGTGCCATCACACCTGGCTAATTTTTATATTTTTCGTGGAGGCAGGGTTTCACCTTGCTGGTCAGGCTTGTCTTGAACTCCTGACCTCAGGTAATCCACCCACCTCAGCCTCCCAAAGTGCTGGAATTACAGGCATGAACCACCAGGCCCAGCACAGTCTAGCTCTTTCTTCTGAGCTGTGGGTCCTGACATCAGACTGTACCAAGACTTCTCCATTTAGAGCTGGGAAAGTTAATTCACCCTATCTTTTGTATTTTTGTCTCTATCTTCCAAACCTCCTTTTATTTTAATGGCTCCTTATCTTGCGATAGCTTTTACTAGTTAGTTACACATGGCCTGTGGTAGTCATCATAGACTCTTTCTTCCCATGGCTAATCAGCCACCAAGTCCCATTGATCCCACCTCCTAGTTATCTCTCTAATCCACTTCTTCCTTTGTCTTTCCCCTGCCTGTACCTGAGTCTCTTTAGCCTCATCACTCAGCATGATCCAGCTATATCTATGGTCCAGCCATACAGAACTAGTACAAACTTCTCAAAAGGTACCTCATTTTCTCTTGGGCTTTTATATGCTATTTCCTTTAACTGGAAAGACCTTCTCTACCTTGTTAGTTTAATCCGTTCCTACTTAGATACTAAGAATTATCCCACCTTTGATTATCATCAGAGAAATCTCTGACTCCTCCTACCCACCTACCCCTGCCTGACATTAGGACTTCCTTCTCTGCAGCACTCCAGGCAAGCTTCTCTTGTCACAGCTCTCACTCAGAGCACACCAGCCCTGTTTCCCTCACATGTTAAGCCAAACGAATGGCAGTCACGGAAGACAACTTAAAATTCCTGGTACACATCTATTGATTTCTAATCTTTGCAAGACCAGAAGATTATTTAAACTTACTGAAAAAATGCTGGGAGAGTCGTAACAAAGAAGCGGCCACTCAAACCTACAAGAAGCATAAACAGAACAAAAGTTACACTTAAGTCCTCCAAAAAAAACATTCTTGAGGTTACTTTCATAATCACATTATTAAAATCATTGCAATTATTGATTCCCATTTACTATTGTTTTTTGACTTACAGAAATTTCATTTCTACCCATTTTTATTTACCTAACACTTTCCAGTAACTGACATACAATTTGCTTATCTTCAGTGTGTTATCCTGGAATTTCCAGGTTTGAGCATCACTTGGATTATATGGAGGCTGAAGGAATAGGATTTAGAGTCATGCAAACTGGGGTTTTGCAAAGTTAAATACTCACTTTCCCATTTACTAACAATATAACCTTAGAAAATTTAACCTTTCTGAGTCTCAGTTACCTTCTCTGTAAAATGTGTATATAAATGCCTTACTTAATTATTCTAAAGTTAGATTAGGGCAAGTATTAGGTTTACCATGGTGCTGGGTACATAGTGAAGGACTCAGCAAACTACAGGAATGCTTCTAACAGTTATCAGTTTAAAAAGAATAAGTAAAATGAAATGCTTAAGATCATATATAATATATGTGAAAGGTATTTTTTTAATCTGTCTTAGCAAACCTTTACTGAATACTAAGTACATATCAAAATGCTATGCTATGTGTATGTAAAGACAAAGATAAATAAAACCCTCAGTACCTCAACAAATATCTACCAAGCACCTTCTTTGTTCTAGAGACTGTGGTAACTGCTCAAGACACATGGATGAACAAAAACATGTACAACCTTTATTATCACAGAGCTTATAGTCTAGTAGCAGAGGGAAAATACTTATTCAAATATTCACAATCACAACCACAAACAGAGAATTATAATATCAAAAAAAAGGGGGGAGAGACATGAAAAAAGTGCTGAATGAGACTAGGAGTAAAGAACAGATCCCTGCCCTTTAAATGTTGTACATAAATAATATTTGCATGGGCACCACGAATTAGTAAAGAGTATGAAAGCTTATGGATCCTCCTGGCCAACATGGAAAAATGACAGAGGCATCATCACTTTAACATTTCCCATCACAGCTGCCCTTCCCACTGTAGAATAACGTGGACAAAATCAAATATCTATTCAAATTAATTTGCTCAAATTATACATCTCTGTGGTCACTTGCAATTGAAAACACTGAAGCTTTACTCTTAATAATACAGGAAATTTGCTTTTACCTATTTTATAAATTAAACCCATATTTCTCATAATTTAGCAACAAATGATGACTCTTCTTAAATAATTCTCTATTTTATTTCATTCAGACCAAGTGGATTCCAAAACATCTCAATTGTATTTAAAAGGAAACACAGTACTCCGGAGTAGTAAAAGTTGATGTCACAAAAAGAAACATTTACTACAAAAATCTGACATTGTACATTGGAAAAAAAAGTTGTGTTACCAGTAATATAAATGTAAGTGACCTGAAAAGAGGTCAACTGAGGATTGTAACAAGCACTTCTAAGCGCATTTTCATCTGTGACATTGCTTGGAGTTTCACCCTAGAGGGGAACAAGGGCATTCTAAAATATACTTCCAACTCTAAACTGCCAGGGGGAAAAGCACTGTTATTCCTAAATACTTTAAAAACTAGTATATGCCTTTAGTTTCAGATAATTATTACAAACAGTTTCATATATTACTTCTTACCTAGCTACAGATTCTTATGACCGGCCAAAAATTTTATCTAAGGACAGTTTTGCTATTAGGGATGTATATTTTATCCGTATCGCTTTTTAAAATGGAATGAAGAAATTAAATAGTATCTCATCACTTCTTAGAGTTTTTTACTTGAATTTAGACAAGATTTCTATTAAATATTAGGCTTCACTTAAAGTGATTTTTTAACTTACTCTTTAAAATCTTTTTTATGTTCTTAGTCATCATTGGCTATGACAATAAATAATAATCAGTCATATAAAACATTTCCAGAATCAGAAGCTTTTAGTTTTAAGTCTTTTGGAAATTGTACCTTATTTCAGAAAACATAAATTATCTTTACAAATAAATATGCCCATTAAAATCAGTGCATACAAAGAAAAAGTAACAAAGTAATGGATGGTCTCTGAGATTTTTCTGCAGCTTTCTGGTTCATGCTAAAAGGAGTAACAGGACAGCTGTTCCCAAAATTGCCAGATTAAAGGCTATAATAACTTTATGTCTGTTGATATGAATTGCTATGTTGTTTCAGTGACTATTGTACCAATTTACAAGGTCATCAATTAAGGTTTATTAAAATAAAGACCAATAAATTATATCACCTCAAGATTACTTTCATTTATGTTTGTCAATATTTCTTCAAATGACAACCTATGTAGAATATTAATAATAAGGTTGCAGCATCCAACTCAGATGAGTTCAGTTTGCTGTCTGGAATAATATTGTGTCATGTAATGATATATTCAGTAAAATTAACAACAAAATCCAGAATAGCTGAAGTCATCGTTGGATGATGACATAATACTAAATCCTTGTAGATCCAACACCATAAGAAATTCAACTCAAGAAAAAAAAAAAAAAAAAGTCACTTCTGGGAGGCTAAAAGACATCTGAAAGCTCTGGGTCTCATCTCAGTGTTCCAAAAATGTCTTCTGACCTTTAACACTGATTCTATGAAGGGTTAAGAGAGATGTTCGTTACTTGAAAATTAAAACGTGACCACCTTGCAACACAGAAGTACCATCTGAGATTGTGGCTTCAGGGTTTAAAAACACAGTTAAATGTGAATCTTGACAAAGAATTTGAACATTATAATAGCAGCTTGTTTCAGGGTTAACATAATAGTTCACTGCAAGAACTTCAGTAAGCTTAGAAGAAACAAGTGTACTCCTAAGCCTTTCAGTAAAAAAAACAAAGTTAGGCCACAAAGTCTTCCAACATTTATGCATGCCTTTTTTACTTTAAGGGTAACTTTCACTTTAAAATGAAGGCTGTGAAGCAACATAAAAAGGGCATAAATGGAGAATGCAGGATAGATTTTAACTTTGTATCAGAAAACTTATCCGAAACACATGCAGCAAAAGAAAGCAAAATTAAAAGCTTAGAGAAAGGACAGAATTATGATAGAGAAGTACATTTTGATAAGCCAAAACACAACAGAGATTATATAGGTTCAGTATTAGGAAAACAGAGATAGCTAATAGCTATCTATTAGCTATTGTTATACTGTTTATTAGCTGTGTTACCTTTCTCATGTTACTAAACCTCTCCTAGCCTCAGTTTTCTGAGTAAAACAGAGATAAACAGTTTGTTCTTCGCAGGGTTGTTATGAAGCTAAAATGCATGTAAGGGTATAACACAAATACAGGCTGAAGTAAATGCTCACTAAATGTTGTTATTATTACCAAAGAGGGTAGCAGAAGGAAAACACAATGAAAAAAAAGTTAACCTTACCTCTGAGATTGAAATAAGGTTGCCATCATAATAGAATACAAGATAAAATTTAAATTATAAAGTTAAAACTATAACACTAACTCAAGCACAGTAAACTAAACTGGCTTCTGCATTAATCGGTAGTTTTAAAAACAATTCTTACTCTTGGCTGTGGTAGGAGTCTGGCTTACTTCTAATCTAGTGAAATAGTCATCACCCATGGGGATCTATGAACAGCTGCTGCTTTCCTGTCCTTGACAACTAAGCTCATGTGCATGGAACAGAAGGTTCAAGTATATACTCATTAAATTTAATTTCCCAAAGTCAATTCAACTGAAATATCACCTGATCTATGTAGTATTAAACAGGCGATGTGATATAACCTAATCTAAAGGATGCCCTTTCCTTGGCTTCTACAGCTCAGCCATAAAAATGCAACATGATTATAGTCTCTAGTCTTGATGATACAGGAGACAGCAGGGAAGTGCTGGGAAGGGAAGGACTGTCCGCGGAGAGAGCTCCACCCTCAGGCCTGTATCCATGGACCTAGGTGAGAACAGGCATTTCTGTTTTTGTGCCCAAATGTTGCATTTCCCAAGACAACCCTGGCCTGCCACACCCCCATCCTGTGCATATATAAATCCCTAGTCTCTAGCAGGCACACAAACAAGCAGCTGGGTGTCAAGGTGAACACATCGGCAAAAGAACACAAAGGCAGCTGAATATCAAGACGACACTGAGAGGAGCACGCCTTTAGAAGGACACACCAGTAGAAGCACATACCAGCAGAAAACCACCACCTTCCCACTGCATCCCCTTTCTGACCTCTCCATCAACCTCACTGAGAGCTACTTCTACTCATTAAAACCTTGCACTCATTCTCCAAGCCTGCATGTGATCTGATTCTTCTGGTACACCAAGGCAAGAAACCCCAGGATACAGAAAGCCCTCTGTCCTTGCGATAAGGCAAGGGGGTCTAACTGAGCTAACACAAGCCACTTACAGACGGCTAAATTCAAAGAACACACAGAAACACTCGCCCACTGGGGCTTCGGCTGTAAACATTCAACCCTATACACTGCCATGGAATTAGAGCCCCAGAGCCTTGTCCATCTGCATGTTCCCCCTAGAGGTTTGAGCCACCAGGCATCAAAGAAGCAAGCCACACCCCCATCGCACACCCTTCGAGGGGACAAGGGAACTTTTCCCATTTCATTGATAAGTATGAAATCTTATTTTGTTTAAAATACTTAAAAGAATCTCTTATTAGATATACTGATGGAAAAGGTACAAGATAACTAAAGAGTATACATGAACACTTCAAAATTATTGTTTCTCCTCTTTTTAAATTTTATTTACAGGGAAAGAAATGAAATTATTCCTTACCAGCATTTCTGTGGCAAGGCAAGAATATACTAAGGAAGAGCCGCAACCAAACAGAAATTTGTATACAGAAATACACAGTAAAGTGCTCAACTATGGGGAAAAATAATATCATTTCAATGGGTTTCTACTGTTCATTCAAGACATCAGAGTTTGTAAAAAACAAAGAAAGAAATCGTTTCCAAGATAGAGGCAAGCTGCCCCAAAGGCTTGCCAATGAGTTAGTAC